TTCTAAGAGATTTCAGGTATAGCAGCTAGTGTAGAACCTTCAGGCGGACTACTTAAAATAGACAACCTAAAATTGTATATATGGCTAGTTGTACTTTCACAATATGTATTACTTCTGAAATTTATGAAATTAATAAAAGTTAGCTGATAGCATTTGTATAAAGTAAAAAAAAAAAAAATATAGTTAAACTCACTAAATAAAATTTCTAAATTCTAAATATAATCTTTGCTTAAATAAAATTTATATATAGTTTGTTACTATGTACTTAAAATAATTAATTATATTATATACTTGAAACAAGCTTTTGTAGTATAATATTTACTAATTCTTCAGATGCTTCTTTGATAATATCTTTTAACTTATTAGTAATTTTATTAGGAACTTTACTAGGAGGAGAAGAATATTTATGTATTCCTTTACTAATAAAAATTATATAAAGATATTCTTTTATATTATATAGTATAATTTTGTAATATTTTATATCATATTGGTATTTAATTATAGATCCTTCTTGAATAGTATTATCTGAATGATGATGTAAAAATCCTAAATTAAAAATTGTATTATTAAGTTTTTTTTTTATTAATAATAGTTAATTTAAAAATACTATATAGTAATTATATTTACCACATATTTTTCTTTTAGAATTAGATGATAACATAGTTGTACATAATATTATTTTATATGTAGGTTCAAACAAAAAAAAAAATAATAAAATTAAATTATATACTTACAGTTTCACTATTAAGTAGTCACTTTAATAAATCAATATTGATATTATTTTTTAATTTATGAAAAAAATGATTTCCACTACTATTTTTATCCTACTATTGATTACATTCAATGAACTAGCTTTCAGTAGCTTGATTATTATGTTTATTATATTTTTATACAACAAAACTTTCTTTACAATTGTTATTATTAAAAGGACATTTTAATCCAATTACAACAAGATATTTACTAAATATAGATAATAATAAATTAATTTAATTAAATAAAAATTATATTAAATAACAGAATTACAAATATATACTTACATATATATTTGCATTTCTTTAGATTTTTGATTATTTAAAGCTATATTTTCTTCTTGATAAAGATCTGTCTCTATATTAACTTCACTATGTGAAGTATTTTGAATTTCAGTACATGCAAATTCATATCATTTAATACCTTGACAAGTAGAATAGTATTTGTATATATCATAGTCTAAAAAAGTATATCAAACTTTTGTATTACTACCTCTACTAGAATAACCTCTTTGATACTGTATCTAAAATAAAAGATATTTTAAAAAATATATTATATATATAATTTTTTAAAAAAAATTTAACTTAATAAATATATTATTGAAAAAAGCATCATAAGATTCCTAAGATCCTATATTAAATATAATTGTAATGCCTTGTTCTAAAGTAGGCAGATATTCTATTAGCAAAGCAGAATATCTAATTTTACCAACTCTTAAATTTTTAGTAATTAAGTTAATTGATAATGAATCATTATCATAATTAGAATCAATATTATTATAGTTAACTACTTTAGACTTAATAAAAAAAAAGTTTTAATTAGTTTCGTTATACAGTATTATAGAATTAAAAATAAATCAAATATTTACTAATTAAGTAGCAATAATCTTATAATCATCAAAAGATGAATATGAGTTTGATTCTGTTAAATTATCAATTGGAATTTCTATATCTGATTTCTTATGAATAGATTCATAATTATCATCAGACTCATAGTTAATAGTAGGTTCATAATCATCAGAATTTATACTATCACTGTTACTTTCAACATATATATATTCTATATTTTAGAAAAAAAAAGTAAGCGAAAGATAAAAAATTAAAATTTGCTTAAGTAATATACTATAAATAATTAATTTAATTGATAAGTTTATTGATTTGATTTTACTAATTATTATATGATAAAATTACATTATTCAAATTTTTTTTAAAAAAAAAATTATTTTTTTTAAATACTTATACAAGATATATAAAACTCGCATACTTGTAATATTATACAAGATATGCTTACTTATCATATAAACTTCAAAGCAAACTCTTAGTAAACCTATTTTTATTTTCATAAAAAATAATTAAACTTCATACAAACTAATTTAGAATTTGTATTAACTTTTATTAAGAAAATTAAAAAAGTATATAATTTTAAAGATCTTTAAGATATTTAAAAAAGGTAAATAATTTCGTAGCTTTTAGTATCAAATATCAACCTAGAATTTTGAACTATTTATTTAATATACTAAAAAAATCTTAATACTTGAATATTTAGCAATAATATATTAATCATCAGAAAGTTAATTATTTTGAAAGATTTTTGGCTTTTTCTTATAAAGTATATCGATATATATATATAAAACTGCAAAATAAATAGTTCTACTTAAAAAAAAAATATTTACATTTATTACAATTAGTTCTACTATCTATACCTAGTCTTATATTTTTTTACTTCAACTTATTAAAATATTTATTAAAAAATAGCCTGTACAAAACAAACTAATCGTAAATCAACTGGTAGAAAAGCTCCTTACAAACAACTTACCACTAAAGCTACTTGGAAAAAAAAAAAAGTAAATAGTTCTACTATACTTTGACAAGCACGCATCTTTAACTAATAGTGATAATACTATAACTATCAAAGTGTTTAAGTATTATATATAATCATACATATTTCAGTTTAGAAGAAACCTGATTTGAGTATTACTCAGTTAATTATTGAGGCATACTGAGTACAATATTATCTTACTCAGTTAATTCAGTGAATGTTACAGAGAAAATTTTTAGAACTTTTAATATAAAATTTTACTCAGTTAATTAATAATACTGTACTGAGTAAGAATATAATCCAAAAAAACTAGGTTGTCAAATGTTACATCACTAATCTTGTAAATTAAATAATTTGAATCATCACTCTCATCATGAAAACTAATGATATGTAACAAACTAAAACTAAGTTTAATTCATTCGAATAGTAATATAAAGTAAAACTAAAATAGAGTCACTGCATCTAGTCTCTTATAAAGATTATTTAAAAGAAAAATTTTCCAAATGAATGCACTTCTCTTTTTGTCTTGTACTCTTTGAGTAGTTTACTATATGAAATTGCAGTAATTAGAAATTGATTAAAACAAATTATCTGTAATTGAAGTTTCATTTAATCAATAAGAAAGGCTATCTTCTCAATACTATTATCATAATCTTCAATATGATTTTTATGATTTTTTTTTTTTTTTTTTTTTTTTAGAGCCTTAGAGCTTAGTTCAGAAGGTGAATAAGAAAAAAAAGTAAATATAACTCCTAAAAAAACAACCTGCACTTCTTATTAGTAGGACAAAAACAAAAGAGTGATAAGAAAAAAAAGGGTAACTTAGTGCCGTAGCAGTGTGAATAAACTTCTTTTAGTATACCAAAAGATAAAAGGCAAAATCATCATAATTTTCTGCCTTAGAAATAAAAAAATCATCATAGACAAGTTCTTTTCTATATCATCATCACAACATTATTGTTTTTTTTTTGTTTGTTCAAGGTTTTCTCTGTTCGGAAAGTGAAAAAGAGAAGAAAGAAAATCCCAAAAAGACAAAATACACCTCCCGTATTGCTCTTATTAGTATGTTAAAAGAATGATAAAAGAAAAACTGATGATTTGGTACTGCAACCTATGAAAAAAGGTAGTAGATCTGGTGTAATACTGTTATGTTGTTTGAAAAACAACTAGACCTAGAAAAGAACAAAATGTTCTGTTTGTTTACATTTCAGAAATCTATTGTTTATATAACAAAATGATCTGATATAATATGAAACTACAAATAGCTAATCAGAAAATGTAATTTTTGTTTATTCCCACAGAGGTGTTGCTATATCGATATCTGATATATAGTTTACATAATTTATACTAAGTTTTTATTGATCATTTTATTATAAAAAATTCAGCATACATAGTTAATTTAGAAATTTAATATTGTTTCTGTATTCTGATTGGTCTATTTTAAAAGGTGTTTTAAGGTCTCTAAGCATGTCTACATAGTCATGCTAATTTTATTATCCATGCTTTGAACCCTAGCTATAATACACAGAGATGGTAAATGACCTGGTCATTTACTCAAAATTTAAATAACCTGGTTATTTGGATAAATGACCAGGTCATTTGGAGTCATTAGGTCATTTGCATTTGAAAAGATATTGAATGCTATGATTTTACTAATCGATAGTCGTAAGTACATATAAAAGTCAAAATTTGACTAAGTTAATCAATATTTACATATTAAATAAAGTTGTTTAGGAGAATAAATTACATCTATCTTAAAATTTTCATGTAATTTTAATAACTTTTTATTAAGTCATTTTTATATTTTATGTTTATATGAAAAAATTTTTTTATATAAAAGTAAAACGCAAAAACAACTTAATAAAAATTATTAAAATTATATGAAAATTTCAAGATAGATGTAATTTGTTCTTTTGAACAACTTTATTTAATATGCAAATATCGATTAATTTAATAAAATTTTGACTTTTATATGTATCTACTATTATTAATTGTATTTATAAAAATTGCCTTTTGTCTAATAATTAATTCTGATTGGTTAAAAGGGATTGGATTATTAGTTAACAAATATTAAATAACCTTCTATGGGTCATTTGAATATGAAATGACCCAATAACTGGTGTTATAATATGAATTTTTAGTAGTTAAATTTTAATATTTAAATTCTATTAATTATATTTTATTAGTATAATATTT